CATCTATAGTGACTTCTGAGCGGTTTGAATAGAAACAATTTTCTCTTAAAATTATGTAATAACCTCTATTTTATCTAGATCAGGTCAAGTGCCCTATCATATTTTAGAATCATTTCGGCTAATGAAGCTCCCTGTGGACAGATCTGGGTCTATTTGGTTTTAACAGGCATCTTTCCTGGTTATGCCTATTGTCATTATAAGCAGCCATTTTGTCCTCCATGCCAGCAAGTTTCCTTTTGATTTAGCATCGTGCCCTGTTGTAGGGGACAAGGGATGGCGTATTCTCTTCTGTAAATACTTACAACTGAAACTAGAGAATCATTGTCATGGCCTAGGAAGGGTGAAAGGCTAGTCAAAGACGGGGCAATTGGGTATTTATTAGAAGCATTTGATTAGCTGCCTGGCTGAAAAGATAGAGAGTAATCACATTGGCTGGACTGGTTTACATCAGCCTCCAGCGAGTCCAGAGCTCGGCAGTTGGCAGCCCACAGGTGACCCCTGTGTGGTGTCTGTCAGCCAAGTGAAAAATCTCCTCAGAAGAACAAAGACTAGGGACAGAAGTTAAAGTTTAGAAGCTTAAAATGAAATCTTACATTTGGAACTCTCAGGCACACAATCCTAGTCATTGGAAAAGGCAGGGAGTCTCAAGACCAGGGGAGAGATCCCATCCTCAGGAATGGGTGGGTGCGAAAACAGGCTGCACTCTACCTGGAGTCCATTTGACCTGTGACAGATCTTACAGCTTCCTCAACTCTCTGAAGCATACATGAAGTTTTAGTTTGCAGAAGAAGATATATTAGCATTTCCAACTTATTGAAATCCACATTGTAAGAAAAGCAGCTAAAATGTATCTGTAAAACAGCCAGAACAAATTTATACCTTGAAGTCATAGTAAAAGCTATGGCTTTGGGTTAAAAAGCATAAACATACGTCTGGCTATAAGGTTTTAGCCTGATAAAAAGCACCTTTAAGTCTATACTAAACCAAGGGAAATTCAAAATCTTGAGCTCGCGGCTGAATAGTAAGTAGTCTGTGCCCTATTAGCTTATCGTAACTCCATTGATCAATGTTAAAACTCTGAGCCTTTGAACTTTTAGTATAAAATGGCATAGAAGGGGAAAGAAATCTGAAGCATTTTCCATCTAATCATTTACCAGGAACATGAGCAGTTATTTCTGAGAACAGTCATTGCAAAGCATGTTTCTTTAGTGAAAAGTGACACCTGAAACCTGTTTATTCTTTAATATGAAGCCTGTGAGCAAACCTGTCTGCCTTTTTAAAATAAGAGACCTAGTACCTTTAACTAATGAACTGATTAATGAACTAACAAAGTGGATGTAAATGGAAGGAGCCAGTTGCCTGCTATTGTATAATTGACAAAGCTACAGTTAGCTTAGCCATCAATGTTATCAGAGACCTGAAAAGTATAAATTATTGCAGAAAATATAATTCAAATGGCCGATGTGTCAGTTAAAATGACAAAGACTAGACCATAGTCCTTTCCCTAGACAGGCTCCTCTGGTTTCCATGGCATTGTGGGCAGAGGTACCAGGACAGCATCTGTCTTCAGTCACTAGGCCTAGACAATGAGAGGCTTTCCTGTGGAGGAGGGACATGGGAGGTACTGACCTTACTTTGTCTAGGCAAAGAGCGGGGCATGAACTCTGCTGTGTCCTGCTTGTCCACAGTTTGGGTGGAACCCTGGCAGCAAACAAGAGCCCTAGCAGCAGACAAGGCATTGGGGCAGCCTTGGCCAGTAGTTAGCATTTCTACAAGCCTGGTGGAGTAGTTTGTTGCTGTGTCCATTATCTTCTTGGAGACCTTGGGGGTCACTGTAATGATCTGGGAGTCTCTGTCTATCATGGTAAACTTAAATATCTTAAATGCCATATTCAGGAGACCTCCGACAGGTTTGAGGACCCTTAAATAACCCTTGCTTGTTTTCAGTTACTTGTTTTAGGCTATACCTTGAAAACATACATAGAAAGTTAAATAAGGACCTTTTCTGTAATTAATTACCTTAGAATTTAGCATGACTGTGAGCATAGCTATGAACATATCAAAGCCTATTCATCTTTAGCACTTTAAAAAAAATAACAATTTCTGAAATGAAGCTTTTTAGTATCAAGATAAGACTTTAAATTCATCAATACAGTTCACAAGAGACTGGGAACTTTTCTGATGCTTACATTATAAGGCACAATGGTTTCTTGCATGGCTCAGTTTACCAAAGTAGCTACAGCTTAACGATTCTAGCAAAAGCAAGGAGGTTAGGCATATATTCTTAAACCAGTCTCTGTTAGCCTGAATAGACCTGGGGTAAGGAAAGGCCCTTTTCCAGACTGTTTAGGACACTGCCTTGCTACCTCATAAGGCAGGAATACCTCAGTCTCTGCTGTTTAATGTTTAGTGCTCCTAGCTGTAAGCCCTAATTTTTAGCCTTTTATTTATCTATATTTATCAAGATTACATATTAATAAAGACATTTTAATAAAATATATCATAAACTTCAAGTGGCCCATAGCCTCATAAATGTAAATATTTTTAAAAGCTGTTTCCTAAAAGCCTCCAGTTTTTTTTTTAATTTAAATTTTCTGTAGAACTTCAAACTTTCCTCTTAAAGAAATTTAAAATCTCTCAACTGTGTGCCCCTGCAACATTAAAAATAAAGTGCCTCTTAATTTCAGCGGGGAAGACACAGGGTATGCCTGCAATGTGCACAAGGCAAAACCCAAGCTCCGACAGTGCAAACAAGTCAATATTTGTTGTCTGGGATTCATTCACAAGCCTCTGGGCTTCCCCGAGGAGCTTGGATCCCTTCCTTTGCTTCGCTCTCAGCAGCCTATACACCCCGCCTGCTAGATCCCAGCCTGCTATATTTCATTGCAGCTGGTGTTTCTGGTGGCTGGCACCTGGCGCCTACATCTCTAACAGTGCTTGGGTCCCCACTGTAACTGGGCGCTCTTTAGGAACGCCAGCCCTGCCACCCGGTTCCGAGTGTCAGCTGTTCATCATCACCCCTTCAGGCCGTTAAGATCAATACCACCTGAGTGACTCCCACATTATAAAGTTTGGCGGCCAGCACCAGTTGCATCCTTGTAGGGAAACAAGAAGCTTTAATACCTTACTAAACAAGCATTGTTTTAAATCATAATCTCCATAAACCTTGTTTTCAGGACAGATATCATCATACAAAAATCAATCCTAAGCTAAAATACCTTGGAGATCTCTATTACAGGTTTTAAATTAACCTTTTTTTTTTCACAGATTTTTAACCATACCCAATAAATTTATAAATCTCTGGAAATTCCATATAATAGTCTTAGGTAATTAAATGAAACCAATGGTCTCCTTTTCAGCTGCTCTGCTTTTCTCTCTTCTTCCTGTTACAGTGTCAGGTGGCTCCCTGATCCTGGACATAAAAGATTTCAAAAGCATGCCTGGGTCTGAAAAAGGGAGAGCTATAACCCAATTCCAGACCCAGTTTTCCAACAAAGGAGAACAGCATAAAACAACTTTAATAGTATACATTCCCAAATGACATTTGAATCTGTTACATTAGATCCAGTGGCTAGAAATCTCAAAGATAAATTCTGAGCTCCTGAGCCATCACTTGGTAGCAACTGAAATAGCGAAGATATAGCCAAGAAACACAGCGCATACACTCAGAGACCAGTTGGAAACAGAGCATACAGTGGCCGCCATACATTCATACATTCAGCTGAGCCTGACTCATATCACTCTGGGCTCCCATGGTTGTAACAAAACTTCAAGACACATCAGAAAATACAGACCCATCCACACACAAAACAGACAAACAAAACTTTCCCTTCCATCACTCCCAAATTGGAACAGTCAAGACAAAACACAGAGCAAAGATAACAGCAGAAACAATGACAGTAATAATTGGTGGCATTCAGAGATTCATCGGTCTGACTAAGAGAATTTAACAAATAGAAGGCTGTTTCAGTTGTCTCCTTGCACAGCCCCTGGGAATGCCTGACATTCACTGGGTCTCTCCAAACTCTAGGTTTGGCTCCCAGTGTCCTGTTGTGTCATCAGCTTATTCTGTACCCCAGGCATTGGAGTCCTGCCAGTGGGCACCCAGGTGCCAGACCTCTCTGAGTGCCTCAGTCCTTCTTGTCACCAGGGTGTCCTCAGGGCTCCAAGGCAGGTCAGAAGGAAAAAATGAGTGGCTCTGGCTGAACTCCCAGTTAACCAGAATTAACCAGTGGGTCATGGGGCATCCCTCTTTGCCCCAAACAGGGTTAGGGTTCTGTACAGACCTTGTCAGAGCCTCCCCATTCCCAGATTAGGATCCTCAAGAACCAGAACCAGAAACCAGGCAGATAGGTGTCACAACAGGACACAAAAAAGGAAAAGAAGGAAGGAAAGAAAGAAAGGACAAGAAAAGAAAATACAAGAAAAGAAGAGAAGAGAAAAGAAAGATGAAAAGAAAAAAGAAAAGAAAAACCCACTTCTCTTCAGTTCTGTTTACACTTCTTGGAGTTGCTTACGCTGGCTCTGGAGGGTCCCAGAGTGAAGAGACCAGCTCCAGAATCTGGATGAAATGGTTTTCATCTCACTAGGGCCTCCAAATGTTAGACCTGGGGGCAGGGAGAACATTTCCATGACTGTCTGATTAAAGCAAGCAGAATTGGGAAGTCCACAAGGGTAAGAGAACTGCCTCCCCCTAAGTCAGAGTTTCAGAGAGAAGCCCTTCACTGGCTTTTGAAGCCCCCTTTATGGGGAATGGATAGGGTTGATAGAAAACAGCTGTTTTGATAACTGGCTGTTAGCACCTGGCCAGAAGAATCAGGGACTCAGTGCTGCCTGTGGGATAGGTAAGTGCAAGAATATATATCATACGGAAGGGGGGTCATCACAAGTGTGTAGGACTTTAATAGGGCAAGAGAGGGACTATACGTCATGGGATTAGGAGTTCAGCATAGGTTGAAAAACATGGTTTGAAGGAGACATCAGATTCGGGGAACAGAAACTTATTCTCACAAGCTACAGAGACTTAGTAACAATATATAACAACATGGCTCCTTAACAACGATGTGGCTCCTGTTTTGGTTTCACCCCACCTCTCTTTGCAGAGATGTGATTTGCTGTGGCCTCCAGGAGCTTCCACTGCAGTCTCTTACCCATTATCCCGGTCCTTGTTGGCTGTTATCCACTCCATAGTGCTAGTGAGTAAACGGCAGAGATAGCTGCCTAGAGCCTATGGCTGCCTGGCCAACAGCCAACACATGGTTCCCCAGCTTTGCTTCTCCAGGGGCTCCTTCTGTCGAGAGCCACAGTGTCCTGGGTCTGCAGAGGCCATTCCACTTTGGGCTTTGTGGCAGTTCCAAGATGGTTTGTTATCGTGAGGGATGGATAGGGGTAGGCGGGCTTCAGATGAAGATTCTGAATTCAGACAAGGGTGGGCACCATCACGGTCTGAGCAAAAGGCGATGACATTATAGAAGTTCAGTCTTGTATTCATATGTGTCTTAACTCTGGTTATGCACCCAGGCTGACCCAGCCTTGGCAACGTAGGCCCAAAGGGACTGTAGGAAGCACTGCTTCAGTGGTCTCTCTTAAGGGATCCTCCCCAGCCTCCTCTGGTGTCTAGGGTGTCAGGCCAACCTGAGTTCTGTTTCCTTCAACGGTCTAGCGCTCCCTCTCTGCCTTTGTTATGCCACTAGGTCTCCAGGCGGAAGCCATGGCCCTCTGGAGATCTGCCCCTCGGAGTGGATAAGCATACATCCCTTCAGAAGGCTTTCCTGCCTTCCGGAGGCCCTGCTAGGAGGTTCCTTCCTGGGAGATCCCCTTTCTGTTTTGCTCCAGGCTCTTTGGTCTCTGATGGGGCCAACAAGAGAAACTCAAGATAAAGGTGTGAAGAGGTAGAAGAAATCATGGAACACTCCCCCTCCCTCTCTCCAAAGCAAAATGTCACCCTTCAGAGAAGGTAGGACACCCTTTCCCAGCAGGGGCTAAAGCCATGGTGGTAAGAGCACACACACTCCATGCCAGAGGAAATGGCTGGTAGCTCACCCGCCTACCCTGCTCAGGCTCCTGGGCAGGGCTCACAGGTCTCTGTTCCTCTCTGGAGCCTACTTGGGGTGGGGGGTATCCTAGCAGAAAGAAAGCAGTAAGATCCCTTGATGGCTGCTTCATTTCTCCAAGGTAGACTCTACATGAAAAGACCGATTTCAAGAAATCATCTCACCCATAAACAGTGCTGACAGCGTGTGGCCACAGGGGAGGTCTTCAGACGGAGGGCAAGTGCCAGACCTGCAAGTCAGCAAGCGGCTGAGGTGGTGCTCACACCAGTTTTGAATTCTTTGATTCTGAAATTAAAGTTCCTGTAGGCCAAGAGATGCCTGAGAACCTGCCAGAGCCCCACACCAGCCAAGCACATTAGGATGGGGTGACCAAATCCCACCTGAACATGAACTTCTGTGAGTAGGCTAGGATGCACAGCAGCTGTCCACTTGTCCCCTTTCTGTGTGTGCACCAGTCACGCCACACCTGCTCTGGTGGGGAAGAAACCAAACCTCCACCCACACTGTCCTCCACGTCGGGCCAGGCACTGGAGGAGAGGGAGATTCTGAGTCAGTGGGGGCCTTCCAGGAGGCAACTTGGGGACTGGGCAGCAGTGTTATTGGGTTCACAATCTATACCCCAAGAAATCAAGTTCAGCCACCCACCTTGGAGAAGCCAATTAAAGTGGCCAAACTAATAATAAAAAGCAGAAAAAGGAGATGCATTCAATGTGGCTTTTGGAAAGAGGAACTAAGAGATCCGGTGGCCTCGCCCACCACCCCTCGAGTCTGGGAATTAAGAGTAAAGCTTAAATAGAAGGCCACTGGTATGCACCTCTAAGCCCACCGCTGACCGACCCATCATTGTCTGGGCTTCATTCAGCTTCATCCTACAAGGTGGTCCGACATGTTGTAAATCTTTTCCAGAGACAAGTCATCCTCGTAGCTGGCACCTTTTCCTTCTCCCAGCATTGGTTTCCTGAAGGAATTCCCATGTCTTTGAGCCCATCGTTTTAATAGTCTGATAGTCAGATTGAGAGAAGCTTGTGTGTCCTCATTTCTGCTGAGAGGGTTGGTTACAGGAGGAAGAGAAGGAATGGTGAGTGAGGTCCTGAGTCTTGGAAGTGAGTCCAGGGCTTGAGTGACCACCTGTGAGGTCCTAAATAGGGTCTGACCAGTGTTTACCCTGTGGTGGCCTCTTGTGAGGGCTAAGTGACTTACGAAATCCCCAGGAACATGCTTGCCCGTCCCCTGTGTGATTGATTCAGCTTGGCCGTGCAGTATTTACACTGGAAATTTAATCATTTCTATGATAAACGAGCGGAAAAATAAATTGCAAGTGTCAAACACTACATTAGGAGAGTGAGCAAGAGCAGTGGGGGCCGACCGCCGGCCTCCGCAGCCAGCAAATTGTAAGCCTGAGAAATGAGCCCAGCTTCTGCTGCTATAATTGCCAGGTCAAGAACCAGGATGACCCGGATGAGAAGTGAGTGGGCAGCCTAGTGCCGCTCAGGCCAGCCATGGAGCTGCAGGGTGAGTGATCGGGGATCTCTTTAGCTTGTTGTTTATCGCAGGCACTATTAAAAATTAAATTATGCTAACATACAGTGAAATAACTGGCACTAAAAACAAAGGCGCTGAGCCCTCGGAGCTCATCAGCTTCTAATTACTTTGTGGTATTTTACTGCTGGCTGTGTCTCCCGGGTTATTTACTCAGGCTGTGTTTGTGTGGGCTGGCGCTCTGTCTCTTTCTGACTCCCACTGACTGACACTTTGGTGGCTTGAAACTGATCTGGATGGGAGTGTGTATGCAGCAAGAAGGAGAGGATCCCACAAACCAGGGTCTTCCCAGGATGTAGAAACCGTGAAAGTAATTTGCGTGGAGGAGTTTTAATATGAAGGATTAATAATAGCTAACGAACAATCAAATCCTAAAAGGAATAAAGTAGGATGCGCGGTGACGCTGTCTGATTTTGAAGTTTGCCCCCTACACTTGCGTGCTGAAGGCTCAGTCCCTAGTGCAGTGTCTGGTGTGGGGGTTTGGGGGTGCGATTGGACTGTGAGGCTTGGATCCGATCAATGGAGAAATCCCCTGATGGATTCAAGACCTGATGGTGCCTTGAGATGCGGTGGGTACTAAGGGGTGGGCCTAGTTGGAGGTCACTGGGGTGGTGTCTTTTAGGGGTGTCCTCTGCCTCATGTTCCTCACAGCCGTCCCTTCTTTGCTTCCACGAGGTAAGCAGTTTCAGCCACAAGTCTCCGCTACCATTTCTTCCTCACATCTGGCCCCCCCGCAAAATCAAGCCTGCTGACTGTGGCCTGTATTCTAGCCTGTTTTCTCTCTGTGTGATAAAACATTCTGAGCAGAAGCAACCTGGGAAGGAACGGGTTTATTTGGCTTGCCCCATCATTGTAGATCACCAAAAGATGTTAGGGCGGGAACTCGAGGCAGGATGAACATGGAAGCAGGAACCGAAGCAGAGATCCTGGAGGATGCTGCTTCCTGGCCTGTTCCTTGCTCATACCTTGCTCAGCTTGCTACTTTTATACAAGGCAGGACCATTCGCCCAGGGGTGGTGACACCCATGGATGAGCCCTCCAGCATCAATCATTAATCAGGCAAATGTCCCACAGAATTGTCTTCAGGCTGATCTGATGAAGCCACTTTCTCAGTTAGGGTTCCCCTTCCTAGATGTTGACAAAATACTCACCAGCACTGGTGGAAACTTTAGAAGAGAGGAACAAAAATAAGTATTTCTTTCTTTCAAATCATTTTCCTCAGTTATTTTGTTTGAGTATTTCACGCCTTCCAAAGGACTATGTGTTGAAGACTTAGTCTCCAGCATGGCTCTCTAGGGAGGTGGTGGAGCCTTTAAGGGGTGGGGCCTTGCTGAATATCTTCAGGCCATGGGCATATATCAGAAAGGGATTGTGTTATCCCCGCCTCTTGCTCTTACTCGCTTCAGCTTCCTGGCCATGAGCTAAGCTTTTCCAACTGTTCTGCCATGATGTACCACCTCATCCAGAACACTGGGGCCAACCTACCATGGGCCAGAAACCCTTTAAACTGTAAGCCCAATAAAAGCTTTTTCTTTAAAAGCCCATCATCTTGGGTATTTGCCATAGTGACTGAAAGCTGCCCAACACAGAGGCTCACTCTTAAGTATTTTAAGCTAGTGAAGAACAAGCCTGCCTCCATCTTAGGCTTAAAAGCCAACTTATAGTAAAAACAAACTAGGTTCATTCCTCTTTATGATTAAACTTTTTTTTTCTTCTCAAGGATTGGGCTATGTCCCACCTGTAACCTTAACATGAATGGCTTAGGACTGCCTGTTCCAGGAATGGCAATCATGCCTTTGTTTCAATAAGTTAACAACCACTTTGCAACCCTACCTTTGTCTCAAAAGGGTTGTTATGGCTACCTTATTATGACTACCTGTTGTTATATCCACCTTGCAATCATGTCTTTGTTTCAGGAGGTTGTTATGAGGAACACGTTCTGCTTATGTTCTGCTCCTGTAACCATGTCAATTTTGCCCACAAAATCTTCCATTTGGAAAATCCCTACCCCTGAGCTATAAAAGCCTTGTCTTCCTCACACCCAACTTAGACCTCTCAAACCCTGTGTTAGGTGGAGGCAGCCTAGGTACAGGAATAAAAAGGCTCGCTTTGATTAATTGCTTGCTTTAATTAATTTGAGCATGATGACTTGGGTCTGTGGTCTTTCTCCTCCAGTCTTGGGGATTAACACCAGAAGTGGTCTGTGTGCCCTACTGTGTGAGAGCAGGACTCACCGAATGGTCAGACTCAACACTGGTGTGCCAGCCTAACACAAAGGGAGCTCACCAGCTCCTGTGTTTAACTTACTTGCTCTTTTAAAATTTTTTCCCCTGTAGGCAACTTCTAAAGAGGTATGTTTGCTCCTGCCTACCCCAGTCTCAGAGTAGATGAATGGGCCAGACTTGAAAGTGTTGATAAAGGAAACCAATGCAGCTAATTCCATCATCAGATATGGGCTGCAGTTAATTGTGTTACACCGCTTGGGTCTTAGACAGAGAAACAGGCGGGCACTCCTCCACAGCTCTCTGATTTATCACCCACTCTGGCCCCAAGATCAAGGATAGGAAATCTCCAAGGATCAGCATGTAGCAACAGAGAGAAGAATGGCCCCATCGAGTAGCCAGTGAGCCCAGCCACAAGGAACGCTTTCTTGCCATGACAAACGTCATAAAACACATTGACTCAGCTGAAAGTCCAGTCTACCTTGCTGTGGTTTAGATCTCCAGTTTTCCCAAGGCTGGTGTGGTAAAGACTTTGTCCCAGGATCTTGCTGCCTGGAGGTGGTGACATTTGAGAGATAGAGGTACGTAGATCATTCTAGGAAGCAACCCTAAGAGAACTGTGAGACTTTGGCCCATTCCTTTTTCTCTTGCTTGTGACCATGTTCTGAGGTTTTATGCTCTGCCATGACACTTTCCATAGTTGTTTTGCTTCTCCACAGACCCAGGAAATGGGGCTCACACAATAAGTCCCAAGATGAATGTGGGTACGTGGCTTCTCTACTGCACCATGACCTCATTGTCTTTGGGCATGGGCCATCTTCCAAGTTTATGTGTTGACATCGGAGTGTTGAGAGGAGCATCTCTGGGGAATGATTAGGTCATAAGAAGCCTGTACCCCAAGCATCTTCCCACATTTCATGCTGCACGGCTCAGTGACGACCCCCTGTGTCTAAAGACCCACATTCCTTTCTCCCATCATTTCTTCATTGGCACCAGGTGGACTTCCTGTCTTTTGTGACTAGTATGTAAGATAAGCATGGGTTAATGGCTTCTCTACTGCATGACATATGGCTCACATCTGTGAACCATATGTTAATTCTACTTTCAGTTATTTCCCTTTAATTTCCAACGATAAATTTTACTTATTATTTTGTGTGTTTGTATGATATATCTGTGTGTGATAGAAAGTGCACAGATGCCGCACTATGCACGTGGAGGTCAGAGGGCAACCTGTGAGACCTGGTTTTCAGGGACCAAATTCAGGTTATCAGGCTTGTGCAGCAAATGCTCTTACCTGCAGCGCCATCTTCCAGGCCCTATTTTTAGTTTATTGAGGAACGTTCACGCTGGATTGCATCAGGGCTGTGCCAATTCCACCCATCTAAGGCTTTCTTTTCCTGGGGTGGGTGATTTTCATCAGTCTATCTTCATGTCCACAAACCCTTCCCTTCCCTGCTTCGGGCCCCGCAGCTCTCATCTCCATTAATGCATCATTTTTATTGCAAGCACGCCCATTGGACTTTCTGCTTGGTTTCTATATCTGCTGAAATAATTCACCAGGTCTTTCAAGCTGTCTTTTAACCATTAACCACAGTGATTTAACCCTCCCAGCACCTACGAGGACCCAGTTTGTCTTTCAGAATGTCCACATATCACACAGGCTTCCTTGAGTCTTTGAGGAATGTCACATGTCTTAGAGATGGAGGAAGATGACGGTGTCTGAGTTAATCTAGTCAAAAATCCAACCAGTTTTGAGATTTCTTATTGCTGTAGTTACCTTCAGTGTCCCACAGGTTTCTGATACTCAGGTGTGACCTTATGCTCAGAATGGACACTGTTCTGCCAGGGCAGGCTGTTGGGAATTGTTTGAGGACTTTGCTTTGCAAGGGTTCTGAGGGAGAGTCTCAACCCTCTTTCCTCCGTTCCTCTCCCTGTAGCACTTCTTATAGGCTTATTGTGCGATACTCATTTGCTGAGCAGGGGCCGTGAGGGCCATCAGCGTATCTCTGCTGCTGTTATAATGCCATCCTAGACGAGCCTTGTTTCTCCACATCCCAAAGACAAGCCTTCTTTGTTCCCCTGCCTTTCCTTTTCTGTGGTTCAAAGCCAGGTAGGAAAGTGCTTCTCCCCCCTCCCCCACTCCTCTTCTCTCCCCCTTTTCCAGCTGAAATGGGCTTTGATTTGTGGGTTCAGGGCTGCTGATCTCATTCCCCTCTTCCACTGAGGTATAGGCTTTGATTTCTTTGGTCAGTCTTTGCTCTTCTGTGTCTGAAGTACAGGCTAGTCTAGGCTCTTTCTGCCCTTTCCTCCACACATCCCCTTAAGTTCCAGAGAGGACCTGCAATCTGGTGTAGACTCCAGTGT